GTTCTAATAGAATGGGAAGATAAACTATATAATAGAAGATGCGGGACAATGTAATACATCTGTGTTAAGGCACCCAGAACACAGAGGAGAGGTACCCAACCAATACCTTTCTTTTGTTATATATATATTTTTTTAAAAATTTGATTTATTCATTTGACAGAGAGAGACACAGTGAGAAAGGGAACACAAGCAGGGCTTGTGGGAGAGGGAGAAGCAGGCGTCCCGCTGAGCCAGAGCCCAATGTGGGGCTAGATCCCAGCACCCTGGGATTATGACCTGAGCCAAAGGCAGATGTTTAACAACTGAGCCACCCAGGCGCCCCCTTTTGTAATATTGTAATGGTAAAACTAACACTGCCGATTAGCATTTTATATTTATATTAATTCTTAAACTCAATATGTTCTCAGTTACACATGTAGATTGAGGTAAGTAATAGGTAAAATGTTTAACATGTAACATGCTTTGGAAGGGCATTTGTATGGATGTGTCTTCTAGGGAAACGAGGTGAGTGGAGCCATTATTTAAAATAGTGTGGAAGTTCTTCTGTGAAGAATCTAAAAAAACAAAACCAAGCTTACAGAGCCCAGATTGGTGGTTGCCTGGGGCAAAATGAGTGAACGAAGTCAGAAGGTACAAACTTCCAGTTAAAAAATAAAGCATGGGAATGTGATGTCCAGTTTGGCAACTATGTGGTTAATAATTCTGTTGCATATTCGAAAGTTGATTAGAGAATAAATCTTAGAAGTTCTCATCACAAGAAAAAGAATTTACGTGACTGTGTTGGGTGATTATTTCGCAGTATATATAGATAACAGTGCTGAACACCTGAAACTGATAATAGTATTGTATGTCAGTTACACCTCAATAAGAAAATAGTATGCTGAAGACCTCCCTTGGAAAAATGATACAGCACTTTCCTGTCTTGGAGCTTATCATAATTTCACTCACTCCTATATGTTTGTGCTATGCTGCTTTATTTTGGTTTTTAAAGTTAAAAGCAGGGCGCCTGGGTGGCTCAGTGGGTTAAAGCCTCTGCCTTCGGCTCAGGTCATGATCCCAGGGTCCTGGGATCGAGCCCCACATGGGGCTCTCTGCTCAGCAGGGAGCCTGCTTCCCTTCCTCTCTCTCTGCCTGCCTCTCTGCCTACTTGTGATCTCTGTCTGTCAAATAAATAAATAAAATCTTAAATAAATAAATAAAGTTAAAAGCAACCTTGGAAACTCTCTAATCTGTTTTTCAGAAATCAGTAAGGGATGTCAGAATCACCCATAGAATTTTTACAAGTTGAGCATATGCTTGGGCCTCCGCAGGTTCATTAGGAGTGGAGCCCAGGTATCTGTTGTTTTGTTTCGTTTATGGATGATTCTAATACACATTCTGTTGAAAACTAATAATCACAATCAGACCTTTTAATAGAAAAATTCTGGCATTTAGATAAAGATGTTACCTGTTAAGGGTCTCATAGGTAGTATGTAGTACCAGCTGGTTTCCTACTAGTCATCAGTGATATTCTCTAAGAAAACGTCAAAGGAAACTTCTGAGAGTGAATAAACTAGGAGTTAAGGTTACTTAGTATTTGTTACTTTATTTCTTTATGGTGATAAGTATTTTCTATTGGGTATTTCCTTTTCTTGGATTGGAGGGCAACACTGAAGAGTTCTTAAGCTCTGCTAATTTTTGAAATTTGTGGGTAGATTTAGCAGCATCAAAGTACATTTGAAAACAGTTAAACCTTCTCCCAACTCCTATAATTAAATAGGAAAGCCACAATAAAAATAACAAAAAGAGTAACGATCATTTCAGAGGTATGTAAGTACTAATTTGATTGTTCATGCAGAAAGTAAAAATACAGAACTACTTTCATTTTTTAAGTTTTTTAAATTATTTATTTGACAGAGATCGCAAGTAGGCAGAGAGGCAGGCAGAGTGGGAGGGGGTGAAGCAGGCTCCCTGCTGAGCAGAGAAGCCCAGTGTGGGGCTCCATCTCAGGACCCTGAGATCATGACCTGAGCCGAAGGCAGAAGCTTAACCAACTGAGCCACCCAGGCTCCCCAGAACTTCTTTCAGTTTAAACATTAATTAAAAATGCCCCTAAGCTGTATATCCCCTAAGCTGACCCTTAAGGAATATGATCCTGGAGAAAACTCATACTGTCATCTGTAATTACCCCATAAAATGCAATAACTGACAGGTTCACTTAGGGAAAATCTTACGTCATTCAAGTTTCGGTATACTTCTCTCTGAATCCAGGACAGCAAAGTTGAACATACCAGAGGTCTGCCTGAATAATCTACCTTTGAAATGCGTGATTTACAAAAATTAAAATGTCTTAGACTATATGAGTTTTGATCGTAGTTGATAAACATAGCCATGAAATACGTTTTAAAGCAGCTGTGAGGCCCATACTTCAGAGAGCTGTTGACCCTAGTTCTTTGATTACCGTGGTGGTATAAAAAGACTGATATCCCTCTCTACTAAGTTTGCTAGTAATTCCCAGCTTTGTGGGGATGTGAAGATTAATGAATGTTTAGTTCTTAGAATTGGAAATGAGGATTTAGTTATTAGGTAGCAGTCTAATACTCAGATGCAGTGTTCCTGGAACTTTCATACATAATGCAGTTTTAATTCGGGTTATATAATGTATATTTGAACTTGAAAATCTTCAAGAAATGGTTGCATATGGGAAATTTAAAGATACTTTAGCAGATCTTCATACTTAGTCTTTGGGCCAGTATTGTAAGAATATATATGAACATTAGTTGAGTCTTAATGTTTTTACCCAGAGGTTCTCTGTTTCTTTCTCTCTTTTTTTTTTCCCATTAAAGTTACTGTATTAGTAAAATTCCGTGGTATGAAAATAGTTAAGTGTTCATCTTTCTGTTGGTGGACATTTAGTTTGTTTATAGTTCTGTGTTAAAATCAAAACAAGCAGGGGTACCTGGGTTGCCCAGTGGGTTAAGCCTTTGCCTTTAGCTCAGGTCATGATCTCAGAGTCCTGGGATCAAGTTCAGCATGAGGCTATCTGCTCAGCAGGGAGCTTGCTTCCTCCCTCTCTCTGCCTGCCTCTCAGTGTACTTGTGATCTCTCTCTCTCTCAAATAAATCTTTAAAAAAATAAAAAGCATACTATTATAAAAATTGTTGAATGTTTCTCCCAATTTATATACATCATAGTTTCACTAAGGGGAAATACTGGGTCATCGAGTGTTTGCATCTCCTAATTTCTTAGTTAATGCCAACTCACTCCCCTGTGTGGTCTATCAGTTTAGTCTCCACCAGAAATGTTAAGTTCCTGTTACACCTTTCTAATTTTTGGTGGTGTCAGATTTTAAAAATTTCTCTCACTCTGGTGAGCATAAAAGGATATCCTCTTGATTTAAATTTGCGTTTTCCTGATTATCAGTGAAGTTGATCATCTTCTGTGATTTTTTTTTTTTTTAAGATTTTATTTATTTGAGAGAGAGCAAGAAAGAGAGCATGAGAAGGGGAAGGGTCAGAGGAAGGGGGGCAGACTCCTGCCCAGCAGGGAGCCCGATGTGGCACTCCCAGGATCATGACCTGAGCCAAAGGCAGTTGCTTAACCAACTGAGCCACCCAGGCGCCCCATCTTCTGTGATTTTTAAAACCATTCAGGTTTCTTCTATGAAATGTCTTTATTTCATGCCCCCCCCTTTCGTTTTTCTGCAGAATACGTTGTCTTTTCTGATTGATAGGAGTTCCTTAAGAGTACTTTGGTTGTCAGTGATTTGAATGTGAGGTTTGCTTTTTGTGAATTTCCTGCGTACATTCCTGTTTTCATCTCCTAGTTGTAAAGACTTCTGAACATAGGTGTAGAAGTTAAATCTACATTAAATTGGTTTTGTTTTAAATGTAAATTTTTATACTGGCAAGGCACATTTCACTAGCTGTGTTCTTTTTCTTCATGAGTTTCAGGACTATACTAGCCCTTACCTTTTTCAAATGAGTGAACAGAATCCGTTTGTCACATGCTGCCAGAACTGCGGCTGAGGTTTTGTTCACGATTGTGTTGACTCTGTATACATAATTTGCAGTGAGAGGTTTCAAATAATGTTAATTTTCCATATATGTTTTACACTTTTTTTTGTTTGTTTATTTCTAAATACTGAATATAGAGTATCATGGGTGGGGTTGCTATTTAAAAAGGATCCATTTTAGTGCCAATAATTTTTAAATGCTACAGATAGAGCTTAGGTGTTTTATGTATTTAATTACCAAAGAAAAGTATGTAATCTGGAAACTCCATTTTTTTTTTTAAGATTTTATTTATTTATTTGTCAGAGAGAGAGCCCCCAGGCAGAGGGAGAGGGAGAAAGAGGCTCCCCACTGAGCAGGGAGCTGGATGTGGGACTCCACCCCAGAAACCTTGGGTCATGACCTGAGCCAAAGGCTGCAGCTTAACCAACTGAGCCACCCAGGTGTCCCTGGAAGCTCAGTTGTTTATAAAAACTATTCAAAGGGTCTCATTCATCTGATCCCCTTGGCGCATTCTTGGAGGTGCTTGCGATAGTGGCAATCCTGATTTGTTTTCAGACCATTGTCATGTTTGGGAGGGTTGTTATTGTGATCATAAACATTTTCATCATAAATGAAGTCCTGAGAATTGTATTGTCCCTTTATCCTAATAGAAGCTTATTTGAATGTGTAGTTAATACATAACTGTGTTTGAAACAGAACAAGGTACTTTTGGAATCAGACACAAATATGGTTGAATTACTGCTTTACCAGGTTTTGTGATACCAAGCAAGTTACTTATTCTTTCTTGTTCAGAGACCTTTCTCACCTATGAAATTGGGATATAAAAATGTCTGCTTCATTATTCTAATCAGACAGATATTTACTGAGCCCCCCTCTGTGCTACCTTTCAAAGATTAAATGAGGTTACTTGAGTTAGGTGTTTGGCACATGAAAGTTGCTTTTTTGATGTTCTAGTTTCCTCTATTCAAGTAATTTTTTCAGCCTTGTTATCTCCTTTTTACTTAGAGTCTACACCAGGAGACAAATCTGTATCACATTCTTGCACAACTCCTTCCACATCTTCTGCCTCTGGACTGAATCCCACATCTGCACCTCCAACATCTGCTTCAGCAATCCCTGTTTCTCCTGTTCCACAGTCACCAATACCTCCATTACTTCAGGACCCAAACCTTCTTAGACAGCTGCTTCCTGCTTTGCAAGCCACACTGCAACTTAATAATTCTAATGTGGACATATCAAAAATAAATGAAGGTAAATTTTCATAGTAACAAATTTTTTAATTCATTTGCATTGTGTAGAATTCTGTGATTAGTGAAATCCCCAGTTTAGGAATGATCTTTGTTTCATTTTGAAATTCACATTTGAGCTTCATTCTTTTGAGTTTATATCCTCCATTGTTTAAAGCCTTCAGTATTGTAATTGAGTTAGCAATACATGGATTTCTCTGTATTTTTTTAAGACTTGCTATGTACCTGGTAGTTACTGGAGATAAGCTGTTGTGTCTGCCTAATGTGTATGGTAAAATTTTTTTTAAGTTAAAACAAAAAGCATTTCCCAAAGCTGTACAAAAACACTTGAATTTCTAGCGCATTTCCAAAAAAACCTCTGGCTTATGAGTAAATAATTATTTGGAGTATTAAAAATAGGGTGACTACTAAAAGTGGGAATTCAGGTAGTTCCTTCTTAAAATACTTGAAAAAAAAATTTGAGATGGGAGGTAATGGATAACATTTTCCTGGTTTTCCTAGTTAATTGCATTGTTAATTCCAACTTTGCTTTTCATTATGCTGCTAAATTACTTACATAGATTCAAAGAAGTCTGAATAAAAGTGGATGTAGTTTTAATTCACAAACCAAATAGTCCTAAGAGCATTGCAAAATTTTCTGTTTAGAATAGTCAATTTTGACTTATGTACATTGTCACATAATGTATTTATCAGTAGTAGGAAGTGGCTAAGTTCTTCCTTTATCTTAAAAATGGAGCTATTTCAGGCGTTGGTCAATAACTTTGTTTTTATTGTACTTTCTGCATTTTGATTTTATTCTTTTTAGATAACTATGCCCTTCTATTTGATAGGTACATGTCTTACTAGGGAAAGTGGGGCTTTTAAAACAGTTCGAAGAAGTAATAACATAAGAAAATGTCAATAATAAAAGATCTTATACTCTAAAAATCCATGATGTTCTTAAATTACCTAGCTTTTTAATGTCTGTTTTTAAAAGATTGTTGGAGATGGTGTTGGTAGGGTTTGAGTGCTTAGCTTGTCTAATAAAGCATTTGCATGAAATAGCTACATTTGTAACCTACCTTTTGTAAGATGACATTACATGTAATGCCATATTACATGTAAAGCCCTTTAGCTATCAATGAACAGGTTTCTGGTATAATCAGAAGTTCCAGTGAGCACCTAAATTTTAGTGCAAAGGAAGCCACTGTTTTTCCATACTATAAATCCATTAAGCTTTTTTCCTCTGCCTCAGATCATTTATCTCTAGACCCATTTTATTTTCTAGATTTCTGTTTTGAAAGTTCCAGTTTGAAACACGGCAGTTTTCTCTGGGGTTGCTTTGAGTTTTTGAGTTGTTACTAATGCCTTAATATACCTCTGAGTTTTTATTTTAATTTAAGATATGTTTTTAGTTCTTACAGCAGCTGTGACACAAGCCTCATTGCAGTCCATAATTCATAAGTTTCTTACTGCTGGACCGTCTGCTTTCAACATAACTTCTTTGATTTCTCAAGCTGCTCAGCTCTCTACACAAGGTATTCATTTTCTTAGGTATCACTGGAATTGTATATTGATTTGGAGGGAGATTCATAGCAAATTTTTCTTATTCTTCAAAGAGATTAGCTGTAATGATTTGATGTTTGATTTTTTTTTTTTGACACTAGTATATACAGTATTTTTATTTTTTGAGATGAGGCAAGCATTGACATTTATCTTGCAGTATTGCCATTAAATCTGTAATACATACTTAAATCAAAGTTTGTCAATGAAATATTTTACCCCAAAGGTGAATGTAAACTGGTATGTCCTCAATCTTTGTGAAACATTGATTATACTTTAAGAGTTGAAGTTTGGTTCAGGTTCGATGTTCGATGGTCTTTGGCCAGAGGATACAGAAATGCTTAAGTCCCTACTTGAATGAGCTATTTCTCTTTTCTGTGAAAGCATCCAATGGAAAGAGACATACATAGGAACAAAGGAGAAATGAAAGGGTCACTTTGACTTGTCCCCCAGCCCTAATTCAGAAAACTGATAAACTGAGCCAGGAATACTTATTTTAAAATTGAAATATAGTAGTGAAAAAGACTTAATAACCCTCAGGGTTAGCCTCATGAGGCAGGAGATAAAGGCCTAAATGTAAATTAAGAAAGAAATAAGAATGGTGAGGATGCCTTCCATATGAGAATAGGTTCAGGCTTACCTTCTTGCTTCAACCTAAGAAGGCGGTTGGGAGAGGCACTCACTGGGTGTCCTTGGTTCCGATCCACAGCTCATTTTAGTCCGTGTGGGCCCATTGAGTATTTTCAGACTTTCTCAGATAAGTGAGTGTTCTCTTTTGGGGTTCAGGTGGCATGTGGAGAGATGGAAAGATCTCTGCACTTGTATCACAGAAGTGTGGGTTTATTTAAAATTAATTGCTTCACTTTTTCACAGCCCAGCCATCTAATCAGTCTCCAATGTCTTTAACTTCTGATGCGTCATCCCCAAGATCGTATGTGTCTCCAAGAATAAGCACACCTCAGACTAACACAGTCCCAATCAAACCTTTGATTAGTACTCCTCCTGTTTCATCACAGCCAAAGGTATGTTGCCTTTGAGGGAAATTTGGAAAAGAAAGCTCTCACTTTTGGAAAAACAAGCTTAATGTTTATAGAATCTGTCGTGTAAAAAAAGCCCTCTTCAAGAATGTAGTGGTGGAGTGAATGATGGGTGAGAATAGAGACAGGTTAGATTCTCAATAAATTGAGGGCTAGAGGAGGGGAATTGCACCTGCCACTTTATTACTATTATTATTAAAGATTGTATTTGTTTGAGAGAGAGAGTATGAGCACAGTGGGTGGGTGGTAGAGGGACGAGCAGACTCCTCACTAAGTGAGGAGCCCAACATGGGGCTTGATCCCAGGACCCTGAGATCATGGCCTGAGCCACCCAGGTGTCCCATCACCTGTGCTTTTACATGCTGATTGTTTTTTCTTCCTGACTTTGGGATTTGTGACATGGAGAGTGGAATAATTGTCTCAATGCTTGTTGTATTAATTGTCTTAATAGTTGTAGAATTTTTTAGCTCTAAAGGATAGGAGACAACAGGTTTTCTCATGGCTTTTCCTCCCATACTTTTATTTTAGAAAGGAGTCCATTTTTGTGCTAAGAGCTTTATATGTGTTATTTTTAACTTCCTGTCATGAGAATCAACTACTGTTTGCTTCATTTATTAGATAAGAAAATGAAGCCTTCAGTGAAATCTGGTTTTTGTTGTGGAGTCAGAATTTGAGTCCTTGGTCTTTTCTGAACACAGAACCCATTTTACTCAGCTGTACTACCTGTGTTTATCCAGGCAAGGTCTTTCATGGATGACTCCCCAGAGCACAGTTAAAAATTGTTGGTCTTTTCTGATTGGACTATAAACAGGACCTTAACAATGCTACACTCAGATTTTGTATTACATCATTTAGTCTTGCCCGCAAATTGGTAAGCACCTCCCACTTACACTCATTCTTTGCTTTATAGTCGTACTGTACCAGCAGAACATTAAAAGATTTGGAAGTTGGCATATGCAAGTTGCAATTGTCTTCTTCTTAATTGTAAATTTAGGAAATTTAAAAGCGGGCTATTTTAATTCTTCATGCCAAAGATTTTTTTACCCCCCTAAGGTTTTATTTTTAAGCAATCTACTCAGTGTGAGGCTCGAACTCATTGCTGGTAGTGGATTTGAATGCTCTACCTAGGCCAGCCAGGCATCCCGCCAAAACTTTTGTATTAAAATCAAATCAGAAACAGAAGCCTAAAAATAAAAATGCATTGAAACATAACTTGAAAGTGTTTGTAGGCAAGGTTTAAGGCCTTCCTTTTGGCTTGTCCCTTTCCTATTTATTTATCTAAGTATGTTTTAGGGTCAATCTGGACTGAATTTTTAAATTCTGTGTTAAAAGTATTAGTTTATTGGGGCGGCTGGGTGGCTCAGTGGGTTAAGCCTTTGCTTTCAGCTCAGGTCATGATCCCAGGGTTCTGGGATCGAGCACCGCATTGGGCTCACTGCTCAGTGGGGAGCCTGCTTCCCCCCCCCACCGCCCCGCACCTGTCTCTCTGCCTACTTGTGATCTCTGTCAAATAAATAAAATCTTTTTTAAAAAAAGTATTAGTTTATTATGTAATTTCTTACTGTTTGCCTGCATTTTGATGGAAGAAGATAAAAATGTGAGTTTCAGTAATAGAGACCTTATTACTAGAGCTTAAAACTCATCCTCAGGGTAGTATCTTTAGAGTACAATAAATGATGACTAAAAGTGAAGTAAGTGGTAGTGTTCGTTTTACAGTCATTTGTAAAGTTAGCATTTCAAATCCTGTAAGCATATGGCTATCGGTTTTTTGCATTTGAAAACTTTTCCAAGTTTTTTTTTTTTTTTTTTTAAAGTGGGCATTCAGTAAGTAATATGTAGACCTTAGAATTTTTTTTTTTTTAAGATTTTTGTTTATTTATTTGACACAGAGAGCACAAGTAGGCAGAGTGGCAGGTAGAGAAAGAGCGGGGAGAAGCAGGCTCTCTGCTGAGCAGGGAGCCCAATGCAGTGCTCGATCCCAGGACCCTGGGATCATGACTCGAGCTGAAGGCAGCCGCTTAATCAGGTGTCCTGAAAAATGTTCTTTTATGTTCAGAAGTAGCCAGGGTGTTGAGGTTTGTTTGGGAGAATATTAATCAAAAAAATAACTCAAAAGGGGTGCCAGGATCACCTAGTTGGTTAAGCATCTGCCTTCATGTCAGGTCATGACCTCAGGGTCCTCAGATCTAGCTCAGCAGGGAGTCTGCTTTCCCTTTCTCTGCCCCCCTCCCCCCTCATATTCTCTCTCTTGCGCAAATAAATAACCTAAAAAGAAGAAAAAAAATTTTAAAGAACTGCTGTTGGAGAGTATGACTTAATTAATTAGAAACGGCTCTCAGTCTGCCTTTGTGCCTTAATTTGGGTCTTATATTTGAAACTACTTGAGTTTTCTCTTTGTGGCATCTGAATATATAGTATATGTATCCCCACTGATAGTCACGGACCTTTTGTTCCACCTCTATAGTGTAACATCTCTTTGAAGACTACTTCAGTTGAATTTTCTATGGGCCATAGCTCGTTTTCTTAATATACCAGTCTATAATTGTCTGCATATGTGGTTGAAATTTGAGCAGCTGTATTTGTAGGATGTGGTAACATTAATTTTTATTGATATAAAAGTAACTGTAAATCAGAAGAGCTGTTTTAGTGTATTGGAAAGAAAACTGAGCTCAACATTAGGAGAACTAGTTTCTTGTGCTATTGTGCTAAGAAAGTAGTCTTATGGCCCTAGGCCATTTTATGAAGAAATTAGATTTTAGTCTCAAAACTAGACTCTCTTCTAACTACATGAACTTTATTTGATTCTAGTTCTTTAAATCTCTAGATTTTTCAGAGTTTAAGATTATCCAGCTAAGTTTGGAGGGGTGTGTGGATTTGGGAACTTAAATGAGCATGATTCACACAATTAAATATGTCTATATCACTGATACTCATTTTATTATGAAACAGGTCAGCTCATGTTATATTAAGAATTATTAAAGAATAGAAATAACAGGGACTTCTGATTGATAGTACTTTGCTATTATCTAGTGTCTGTGGGATTTATCTGTGTAATAGAAGCCGTCTCACCAGATTTTGACATTGCAGGTTAGTACTCCAGTAGTTAAGCAAGGACCGGTTTCCCAATCGGCCACACAGCAGCCTGTAACTGCTGACAAGCAGCAAGGTCATGAGCCTGTCTCTCCTCGAAGTCTTCAGCGCTCAAAGTAAGTTGATAAGTGCTGAAATTACTATTCTTTTCATTAATATTGCATGTGGCATTGTTTGAATATTATAAAAAATATGTATAATATAATTTGATCTCATTAGAATCCATGGATAGGCTAAGTTTTATGTATTAAAAGATTGACAGAGGCAAATCTTATGTATAAGTAGGTGGTTGTCTCTAGTAGGGAAGCCTGGTTATTTTTGAAGAATTTTACTTATTAGGATGTGATAGGAGTAACAGTATGTGATTGATAACTGTAGGTAGAGGGCACCTTATTCTATAATACTTCACTTGTTGGAAATGACCTCATTTTTAACGTCCTCATAGCAGTTTTAAATTAGAGTATTGATGAAGCCAAAAATGTTAAATCTAAAACTTGGTCCAATATTTCCCAACTGGTATGTGTTAGGTTTTCCTCATAGCTTCAACTCTGACCCCTGTATGGAGTGCTTGTCAGATAGGGCTGTATTGTGTTGTCACATTTCTTTGTTAATTAACAAATACAACTTTAAATGATTTTCATTTGATTGATTTTCCTATTTTTATTTCTTGCTATGAGGTGGCAAAATAATTCAACTGTTGTTTTTATTGTTGTTTTCTAAACAAGCATTTCAGAACTTATACATCCAAATGAGAGTTGTTCCCTTCAAAATAATCACCTTGGGAAGCTGTCTACTTACTCCAGCAATGTTGCCATTGCTCAGAACATTTTTGGGAAATTCTTCTTTTAAATTGTCTTTAGAGGCTGCAGTATTATTTTAAATATCCTCAGTGATGAAAACTCTTCATCCTTTGGGAGATTTAGTTTTTGGAAATAACTGAAATTCATTCAGAGCCAAGTCTGGTGAAGCAGGTAGGAAATCAACTTGGGTGATTAAATTTTTGGTTCTCACCACCATATCCCCAAACCCTGGCCCAAACCATATAGTTTTAGAAGAATATAAATAGTCTCAGAGTGTTATGTTTTTGGTCTTATTTTGCCACTGAACTCATTCATTGCTGTCCAATAAAATGCCTGTATTTTGCTTCACATTACCTACCCTCTGCTTCAATACTTTGTTCTGATGTTAAACAAAGGCAATATATTTTTCCCCTCCTTATCTACATGTATTTAAGATAGAATATTAAGTTGTGCTTTATATCTACAACTCTTAAAATGTGACCATTTCTTAGTTACATTCTTACTAGTGTTTCTGGTATACAAAACCAACAGGTCAAATTTGGAGAGCACTCTTTAAATTTAACTGACATTAGTGTTTATTAAAAGGGCTCTTTTCCCCCCAAAAGTGTGTTAGAGGAATACATGATATAAATACACTTTGGATTTTAAATTCTGTTTATTTGATGTTAAAATAACAAATTTTTCTTAGGAATTTGGATATCTTTAATTTAGTAGAAGTAATGGACAATTTCTAGGATACCTACTTTTTAAAACATTGTGCACATTCAATTCTGTTTTTTCTTCCAGTAGCCAGAGAAGTCCATCACCTGGTCCAAACCATACTTCTAGTAGTAATGCATCAAATGCAACAGTTGTACCACAGAATTCATCTGCCCGACCTACATGTTCATTAACACCTACGCTAGCAGCACACTTCAATGAAAATCTCATAAAACACGTTCAAGGATGGCCTGCAGATCATGCAGAGAAGCAGGTATGACTCACAGCAGATATTTTACCTGTGGATGAGTGACAAAAATATAACTTCTACTTTTAGAAAATTTAATCTAGGTCACTGAATTTAAGCTATGTTTGAAATAACTAATTCCTAATTAGATTGTTTATAGTCACTCTATAAAATATTTCATAAGTACTTGTTTTAAGGTATTTAGGAGATAATTTGCTATGGTTTCACATAAATTTTTTTTTTTTTAGATTTTATTTATTTATTTGGCAGAGAGGGAACACAAGCAGGGGGAGCGGAAGAGTTAGAAAGAGGCTTCCCACCAAGCAGGGAGCCTGATGGGGGCTCAATCCTAGGGTCCTGGGATCATGACCTGAGCCGAAGGCATGTGCTTAAGGACTGAGCCACCCAGGCACCCCTCACATAAAATATTTTAATATAATTATTGTTATAGCTTCCATTACCAAATATTCAGCATTTAGCACTGTGCCGAGTGTCTTATTCCACTTCTCAAAACTGTTAACTGGTACAGATAGAGTTCTCCATTTTACCAGTGGGGCCCTTAGTACCAAATAAATTAAAATACCAAGGTCACCCAGTTAAAACAGTGATGGGGCTCAAAGCCAATGCGCTTTTTCAATTCAGCCAGCCGTTCTTACAGTTTTAGAACTTCTTCAGATTACTACTATTAGATCTCTCCACTAGACTGGCAACAAGGAGTTAGGAAACAGTTTTGCTTTGGAATGAGGGACCTTTGAACATTCCAGTAACTGCTATTGGCTTCTCTTCCCGCGATTTACTGACTGAAACTTTCTCTAAGTTCACAGAGTTAATGAGTATCTTAAGACACAAGAATATAACGAAGGCCCTTGTATCAGTGTTACACCTGAACCTTACTCTGGCTGACTCAGCATCTTTTATAAACCACAAATCATGAGTTCTTTTATCCTAGTGCTATCAAATACTGAAATTGGAAATACTGTTTTCTCCAGAACTTGAAGGGGAAATTTTTGAAAATTACCTCCCACCAATAGAGACCGTTTTTTTTTTTTTTAATGTTTTTTTGTTTTTTTAAAAGAAAATAATTTTCCCCCTTAGATTCACTATCACTTTTGTGGATTTTTAAAGGAGAAGGAGGATTCTGTAATCTTGGTATAAAGTTGTACTCAGAAATTCAATGATTGTTTTTTTGTGATTGTGACTTATATTTTATGTGATCTTCATTTCTCTAATTATAGGCATCGAGATTGCGAGAAGAAGCCCATAATATGGGAAGTGTTCACATGTCAGAAATTTGTACTGAATTAAAAAATTTAAGATCTTTAGTCCGAGTATGTGAAATTCAAGCAACTTTGCGAGAGCAAAGGTAAGGTTTTCATGGACAGAGTTTTTGTCTTAGCATTATATATCTTAAATCAGACTGAAGGATATAAATAACATTTCATTTCTGAAATTTAAACTCTTTGATACATCCTGTTCCTTAACACTGTAATTGCATTTTAAAAAAAAGATTTAATTGGGGGGGTGGTGGACAAGGGGAGAGAATCTTTTTTTTTTTTTTTTTTTTTTTTTAAGATTTTATTTTTATTTATTTGACAGAGAGATCACAAGCAGGCAGAGAGGCAGGCAGAGAGAGGGGAGGAAGCAGGCTCCCCTAGAGAGCAGAGAGCCCGATGCGGGGCTCGATCCCAGGACTCTGAGATCATGACCTGAGCCGAAGGCAGCGGCTTAACCCACTGAGCCACCCAGGCGCCCCAAGGGGAGAGAATCTTGAAGCAGACTTCCCCCTGAGCGCAGAACCTGACATGGGACTCTTATCTCTAGACCCATGAGATCATGGCTTGAGTGGAAACCAAGAGTTGGATGCTCAACCAGCTAAGCCACCCAAGCACCCCACACTATGACTGCATTTTTATGATTTAATAATATGCCCGGTGAATGGTAATGGTGTTTAGATTTTAATTCTCTAACCCATGGTAAATGCTTCATTAGACTTTATTCTTAGAACTCTGTAAGGTACAATAATATTTTAAAAGGGAAATGGTAGAACACTATTAACTACACTGTAATCTTTTAAAAAATATATTTTTAAAAAGTGAATTGTTGACAGCAACTGATGATCAAGGGTCTCCTCTTTGAGGGTAGTACTCAGTTGCTAAGGTACTTGTTTTAGTTGAAATTTCAAATCACTATTTACATTGTCTTTGGATCACCTAGACATCTCTTAGAAATCTGGTTGTCTAGCAAGTATACCTATTCTCTGAATTGTTTTCACCTAAACACTTACTGTCTCACATTTCTTAGTCTAGTATCCTACTCAAGGATATCTACATCCCAGTAAATAGTATAGATATTTTTTTAATGTGTCTTACAAAATCAAGGACAAACTTTTAATGCCCTCTCACATCCTGTTTGTATAAGTTACTGGATCATAAGCAGAGTTAGTCTTAACATGAAACCGCAAATATTTAGTAAATACAAAGTTGGAATTTATGTAAACGTGGAAAAGTAAGTTTTTATCTAATCTTTCAATTACTAAAGTATCTGGAGTTATATTGTGAATAGGAAGTAGGATTTGTTGACTTTCTGATTGTTCTGAAAGTACTTCAAGCATACATAAAACTTGACTGCATTTTGGCTTACTGAGATAGGTGATTGGACTTTTAGGAAATTATTTGCAGCTTCAGCTATTGCCACAGGGTGCCCTGGTAAATAGCAGGCCACTTTATGAGTACGCCTAATTCCCTGGTACAGGCAGTAACTATCATACTCTACAGAAGAGAGGGGTCAAGGTCAGAAGGGGAACAGTTTTACGAAGTTCATGGAAATCTCTAGTTTGTTTTACATATTCATGTCAGTTGGACTTTGACTCAGCTCTGTTTTTCTGAGCCTATGTTTATATTGAGAATTGTTCTTCAAATTAAGCTTCTTGTACCTTGTTAATTCTAGGCTTTCACTGTTGTGGCCTAGAAAACACACGAAGTATAGGTTTGTCTCATATTTAATATCAGCTGCCGTGTGTGTGTGTGTGTGTGTGTGTGTGTGTGTGTGTGTGATGATACAGCAAACCACATTTTAAATCAGTCTTTATAGTCAGATTATTGAGAAATCATTAGAGAACTAGGAAACATTCTAACTTTTGATATCTTAGTTCTTTAATGTGTCGTACATTCACTGGTCATTTTGTTTTAACTCTAGACTAATCCATATTTATTTTTAAAGATTTATTTATCTGAGGTGGGGAAGGGCAGAGAGGGGGAGAGAGAATTTCAAGCAGACTCCCTGCTGAGCACAGATGCCCCCATGGGGCTTGATCTCATGACCCTGAGATCAGGACCTGAGCCGAAACCAGGAGTCAGGACACCCAACTAACTGAGCCACCCAGGTGCCCCTAGGTTAATCCATTTTTAATTACTTAGTCTTAATTGTAGTTACTTATTTTGTCTTTTTAAGATATTTTTATAGTAAAGTTTTGTTTGGTTTTTCTGTAACATTTATATATGAACCATACAAGTTCTAATGCCTTCTTTTATTTTTCAGGATACTATTTTTGAGACAACAAATTAAGGAACTCGAAAAGCTAAAAAATCAGAATTCCTTCATGGTGTGAAGATGTGAATAATTGCACATGGTTTTGCGTACAGGAACTGTAAATCTTATTGCCCAGTCTTAACATTTTTGAGCTGCATTTAAGTAGACTTTGGACCGTTAAGCTGGGCAAAGGAAATGACAAGGGGATGGGGTCTGTGAGAGTCAATTCAGGGGAAAGATACAAGATTGATTTGTAAAACCCTTGAAATGTAGATTTCTTGTAGATGTATTCTTCACGTTGTAAATATGTTTTGTAGAGTGAAGCCATGGGAAGCCATGTGTAACAGAGCTTAGACATCCAAAACTAATCAATGCTGAGGTGGCTAAATACCTAGCCTTTTACATGTAAACCTGTCTGCAAAATTAGCTTTTTTAAAAAAAAAAAAAATTGGGGGGTTAATTTATCATTCAGAAATCTTGCATTTTCAAAAATTCAGTGCAAGCGCCAGGCGATCTGTGTCTTAAGGATACAATTTTGAACCATATGGGCAGTGTACAAAATATCATGAAACAACTGTTTCCACACTTGCACCTGATCAAGAGCAGTGCTTCTCCATTTGTTTTGCAGAGAAATGTTTTTCATTTCCCGTGTGTTCCATTTCCCTCTGAAATCCTTGATCTGATTTTATCCATTTTTTTAAGGCTCCTCTTTTTCTCCTTTCTTAAGGCACTGTTGCTATGGCACTTTTCTATAACCTTTTCATTCCTGTGTACAGTAGCTTGAAATTGCAGTGATCGAGCATAACCCACTTGTTTGTATAAATTATTGAGATCCATTTGCACCCTGTAAGAATAGACTTAAAAGTACCGCTGGGCATGTGTGCTGAAAGTACATTGATTGCTCACATATAAGGAAATGGCCCAATGAACATGGTTGTGGGAGGGGAAAGAGGAAACAAAGCTAGTCAGATGTGAATTGTATCTGTTGTAATAAACATGTTAAAACAAACAAAAAATTGTTATTTTTCTTTTCCTTCGGTCAGTGCATATTAGAATTTGAACTACCTGGGGATTCTTTATCAGAACTATTCTTGTTGAATATTTATACTTAATTGAAATAATTCCTTAAGGGAGGTTTTGTTTAAAGCATATTAACAGGAAATTGTGTATAAGATATTTAATGAAATATGAAATTCAACAAGAATGATTAAGTCACTTCCCAAGTGGTTGTCATTTGTTATAAACCCTGGTTTAACCTGTCTTGCTATTATGACATTTCATTTTGAAGGATGTTTGTGTTGTAGCTAACTGTTCAAGTCTGGTGCTGACTGCTGTTCTTAGCCATCACAAAACGCTAAATTTGTGTAATTGGAGCTTCCTTCTGTTATCTGGAAATGGTGGGAAAGCTCAGCTTTGTATATTGTTTCCTAAAGTATATTAAAATAAAAAAAGAAACTATTGCTACTATAAAATTACCTTGGCTTTTTTTTTTTCTTTTCTAAAATATTGGTCACATGGCCTTAGCATGACACTGCCAGTATTCTATCAAATCACAAGGGTTTCTTTATGCAGAAAATTTAATTTCAAAATCTTACCTGATCTAGAGACTTTTATCCTGTTGAGGCAGATATATTTATGTGCTTTCAGAACTGCCAGCACCAAGGGCTTATTTTGTGATGTTAGACATTTATGTTGCATTTTTGGATATGAAAATTCCAAAATTGCTCATGTGCTTTAAGCATATTTAAAGTATAGACAATAATGCTCAGACCTTTCAGGAAACTTCAAAAAATAAAATGTAAGCAATAGTATGAATGATATTTTCTAAAATACGAAAAAAAATGTTCCAGTGTAGTTAAGAGGAATTAAAATCTTAGACACTGGAAACTTTTGTTGTTGTAACTTGAGCATACTTTTAAAATGTAAGAAAAGACAAATGTCATATCATGAAATGTTCGTACCTGTAAGTTGTTAACATTTGCTGGGCTTGATTAGTGCATGTAAAATTAACTCCAAAGAGCAATGTTAAGCTGGAACTCTCACTGACGGAGTCCTGTGTCTTTCCTGGGAAGAAGTGAGCAATTTGTGATGTAGTAGGCAAATGTTTCCTGATCAGAGGGCGACTTGACTTGTGATTTAAGGTAAATTTGAATTTTATTTGCTAATAGTTTATTGGTCTGTGTCATCTTATTCCTTTGCTTTAAAAAATGTTTACATCCCTAAATGAATTGCTCACATATATATATAGGAGAAGATGCCTAATATGAAATTTCTTGGTGAATTTTTAAACAAAATTAAAATTTTTGTGGAAATATTTTTTACAATATTTGATTCACTTATTCTGTAGTAAATTATTTTAAGTATTGCACTTTAATACGTTGTGTCCAGCTACTAACCTTGAGATAACCAGGGAATATTTATTAAAATAGGCATAATATCCAAGAATATTCTTTATATAGTTGCCATGGCTTTGAACATGTATCTCATTTTGATTTGCACCTTGGTTCATATAATTTGGAAATAGAAATACAAAGAGACCCTAGGAAACCTCAGGGTTTTTATTTTTAAAAGGATGTTAGTAGTCTTCTATTCAAACCTTAAAAACTGATACTGTAATAAAATGTATTTTGTGAAGGGGGATCTGTTAGAAAGTCTTTCCTCTTAACCAGCTTTCCTACTTTTTTTCCAGTTGTTTTCTGTTTAACTAATTTGACTACCTTTTAATTTTAAAACTTGGATTATAGTCCAACTCCAGTTTTTAAGCACACTGAAAACTCCATGCTTCAACTCTTCTTTAAAGACATGATGCTTCTTTTAATAGCTCAGATGAATGGTTTATCTTCTAAGTTTTATATATCTTTCACACTTATAAAACCTTGGAAAGGAGGTGCTTAAAACTTTGCAAAGATGAATTGTACCCCATTTCAAACAATATTGTTTAAATCCAATTAGCTGTAAGGGATTATTTCTAAGCGGGGGGTGTTGTGAAGTAATTTACTCTGCAAACCGGAACTATTGTAGTTCAGGACTTAAAGCTACTGTATTTAGATGTGGGGTTTGAATATACAGATTTCTTTTCAATACCTGTAAATACGGCTATATTCTTGTATTTGTACTGGAGTGTACAAAATGACACTTAAAGTAATAAATATGTTTTGACTATATTGTGCAGTTATTTCAGAACAGTCTTTTGAAAGTCTTAGAGTGCATAATTTGCATTTGAGTAAGAAAATGCCAAGTTACTGCTAAAATTTTAGTGTTTCAGAAGTTTCAACATAATTTCTTAGCACTATTTTAATGGAAATTTTGGCTTAAAGATCTTTAAAGATTGATAGATCCTCTTGCCATAACCCTTTTTCCTGATCTGAATTTTGGGAGTGCCCTCCAGTGTTCTGCCTAGAGCCCTTGGCTGTAAGAATCCTACTCTTAGGTCAATTTCATCCAAATTGTCTTCAGTATTGAACTCTTTTCTTGAGCTCTGAACAGCAGTCAGTTCAGGTGGCAAATTCTCTAAAAAGAGCTCTTGTACTTCAGAGTTTATTCTCCAGTGTCCCCGTTTCCAGTAACTGTTACCAGTATCACTCCCCAAACAGAGGAAGCATCCTTTGTCTCTTAATGCCCTCTATGTGATCCATCATCAAGACCCCTCCAAGCTCTCCAAAATGTATTTTGGATCTGAGAGCTCACTATCACCATGTTTACCCCTCTATTCCAATCTGCAATCCTCTTCTGAACCAGTCTACTGCCACAGCCTCCTTTCTCTTTGCCACACATTCCTGTCCTCCAGACTGTTCACCAGAGTGAAATAAAAAAACAACCCCCCCCCATCATTCTGTTCATAATTTAAATCAATGATTTCACATACTACAAAATTGAAATCTCTTACCATGGCTTGTGTTCAAGCCCTTGAATACTACCACATCTTGTCTGCTACATTCTCCCTCACTCACTGTAATCTCACTTCAGGATTTTTGTATTTTCTGTCTGGGAAATTTTGTTTTTAGACTTGCACAGCTAGCTGCCCATTGGTCTCTGCTCAAAGGCCACCTTAAGCTTATTCCTGATCTCCCATCTAAAAGAATACCATCACTGTTCCTTCACTGGTTTTCTTCAAAAGAACAGTGCCTGATACACACTCAGTACTCCAGAAATATATGTCGAATATATGTTTCCATAGCCCTTTGGAAACAAGTGACTTAAAATCTGATTTATTTTCGGTTCTTTCACCTTGGGAGATAGGAAACAGCAACTAGTTACTTGGGTTTTGGGGGGTTTTTTGTTTGTTTTTTGTTTTTAAAGAAATTACTGCAATTTACTAATGGTTACCAAAACCTAACTCCAAACCAGTTTTATTGCCCCCATTATGAAATTTGATCTAAGAAATTTAATCAATGATCCAGTAATAATTCGAGTGCTTTCACAGTAGGATTCTTTGATAGGTCTGTTTGGTTCAGATGATGCCTTCACATCCAGCCACACCATTCTGACTTTATAGGATAGGGTGTTGAGGCAAGAAGCATTCAAGCCAACATACTAAGATGTGTCACTAATAGAACATCTCTTCCACAAATAAAGTCCTACAGGAAAATGGGATTTAGGAATATCCTGCTTTTGTGATGGGTGGAAAGATTTAAGATTTGACAGGCCCTTGATACCACTCTATGTACTTCATAAACAGGATCTTTTTCATTTTCTAAGGTGCCTAGTGTTGTTTCATTTGTTCAGCCTATGTGGCTGCATTAGGATCAAAAGTTTTCTTACCTCTTTGGGTAGTTAACAGGATTATTAACCTTGGATGAGAAGGGCAAGAATGCAAGGACAGAATTGTCTCTTGTGTATCTCCCAGACCTAGAAAAATGAGCACATACTAGGTGCTCAAGATGTTTGCATGAATGAGTGAATGAAATACATATTTTAAGTATTTAAGTTTGCTGAAATTAGTATTTAATCTTTAAACATAATGGTTTTTGTTTTGTTTTGTTTTGTTTTAAATCGGAGAGGGAGTGAGCACACACGGGGATTGGTAGGCAGAGGGAGAAGGAGGCTCCTCAGGGAATCATCCCAGGACCTTAGGATCATGACCTGAGCCGAAGCCAGCCACTTAACTGGCTGAACCACCCAGGCATGCCAAGCATAATGTTTTCAAACATTTTTTTAATTAAAAATTTATTATTAGGGACACCTGGCTAGCCTAGTTGGTGGAGCATGTGACTCTTGATCTCAGGTTTGTACATTCAAGCCCCATGACGGGTGTAGAGATTACTTAAAAATATTAAGTCTTAAATTATTAAAGGAACCTTGAACAGAGTCACTCTGAAATTTCAACAAGCCTCTTGCCTAAATGTCACTTTTTTTTTATTTTGATGCCTTGATAGTTTTCATTTTTGTGAACTAAAACTTAAAATGATAAAATATTACCATGTTTGGCAAGACCTCTAATTTCAAAAATGCCAATTCAGTCCCAGTGTACATTTCTCTAGACCTGTTTCAGAAGCCCAAGGGTTCCAAAAATACCAAGTAAAATACTGGTAACAGAATTGCAGGATAAGCTAGCTGATGAGATACCACTCAGTGCTTAACAAAAGTACTTAAAGAGCCAAAATACTTCTCCACAAACATCAAAACAATGAAAGAAACAAACTTCCATAATTTTTGAAAGGTGGATGGATGGAAATGAAGATAGGAAATTTTGGTGTAATTCAGCACATTTAATCATCCCAAATTAGATTTCAGTCAGAAAATAGAAATCACCTTAGGTATTTCAAAAGGGGATAATTTGAAACTAACGGGGACTAAAACCAAGGCAGGCCATATTGGAGGACATAATAAAGGAGAGCTGGGAATGTGGACAGAGGGCCAGTATGGAGGGAGCTGGATCCAAGGGAAATACAAAGCTGCTGCTGAAGTGGCCTTCTGAAGCAGGGTGAGGGAGAATCCCGGGCTTTCCCCGCTTTGTCCTCTAGTTCTGCTTACGTTGGCAGAACTTAGAAGCAAGAGGGTAAGAGAGTTTGGGACACTCCGTGCAATGCTGAGAAGGGTAGAGAAAAGGGGAGCAAATAACCAGTATAACCTCTGACCCTACCTGTAGAGAAAGGGAAGAGCGAAAGTATGCCAGTTCAAGCCACGTTTCCTGACTATAGGTAATGGAACCATGTTTATGAAGTTCTAGGAAATGCGTAAGAAAATGTATTGTGACCCAAATACTATCTTCAGCAAATTGCTCAAATCAAAAAGCAACAGTGACTCCCAAATGTAAAAGGGCTGAAGATTGCACTCCTGAGACCTTGGAGAAAACAGTAACTGACAAAAGCGAACCAAGAGGTGAACGGAGAATGAAGATAAAAGCATTATTGATGACATTGAAGCAGGTTACACGTGCAACTACAGAATGATGGGAAATGTGGTACATCAATGTAGTAAAATGTGGCAAAGTGAAATAATAAAATGGGAGATGGTGAGAAGATGGGAGGAAATA